AGGGAAAGGGAAGGGATCATTGTTGGGCTGCAATTGGTTGACTGTAGAGAAATGCGGGTGGGAGGGTGAAAGAGTGAAGCTACAGCAGGTGGAGGCCCTAGATGGCATTACGGTAACAACAGGGAGAGGGGGAGGTTCATGGCTACATAGGTAATGCAGGAAACGACTCCAGCAGATTCCTTGGGACTTCAGCGGCTAAGCAGGAAGGAGGAATTTTGGCTTGGTTATTGGACAGGGAAGTTACAGGAGTGAGGAGTCTGCAGAATTAGTGGAATCGTGCGGTAGTAGAAGGTACGACAGAGGCTGACTGGGAGAATCTGGGATGCTGGTGGACGGTAGGTGTTGGAGGAAGGCGACAAGAAGGCTGTAGGAAAACAACTGTTGGATGAGGGCAGTGGGAGACGATCTGCAGGAAGTGCTGGTGGAGGTGGAAGTTGGAGAAGATAATCACCACCGGGGAGAGGGATACAATCGCAACACCACCTTGACCGTCGATTATGACCCTAGAGGGGAAAACAGGATGCCAACGGCTGTCCTCACAACTGAAATTGGAAAATAACATAATCTGAAAATCTAGACAACAAACACATATAAATAGGAGATAGAAAGACAATAAACAAAAACAGAAATGGGGGGGATTGGAGATTTTCCCGCCAAATGAAAAGAGGAAGGATGGGTAGAAAACCCCTCGTGTCAGCTTAACCCTAGTCGTATCCCAGGGTTACCAAAAATCCATCCATACCCAATTCAATCTCCACCCAAAACCCCTCACCTTTGATGATTTTTCAATTAATCCCCCAAAATTTTTTTTCCACTCTAGACTAACCTACACACCCTATTTCTTCCCTCAAACCAAACCCTAACCACACTGCCGATGAGACAATTGTTGGAAATATGATCGGGGAAAAAAATGTCATAATGCTGCTTACGAGAAATCTACAAAGAGATGTCCAGGAACTTTCTATGAAAAATATGTAGCTGAAATCTTCCAATTGCAATAGAGGCTTGCCAGTTTCGAGAGATGACAATTTTGAAGGGTTGTTTGTAGACACAACAGTGATTTGTCATATCGAAAGGATGGAATATTAGTGGAGCCAAGATCTTGAAATGTGGATTTATCAAATTTTGACTGTCACAACAATCCAGAAGAATTCATTGAGTTGCTCTAGCAATGGAACGTGTCTTTGAGTACCAGGACGTCCCACCGGACGCCATCAAGTTAAAGAAGGATACATCTATATGGTGGGAGGATCTGAAGCTTCTTCAACAACTGAAAGGGAAAAATCAAGTCAATATATGTTCTAAGATAAAATGAGAGATGCAACGCAAGTAACTACCAGTTCATTACAGACATGACATTTTTTTGAGACTTCATCACCCACAACAACAAGATATCTTTGTAGAGGAGCACACAATTGAATTCGAGCAACCTATATTGAAATTTGTGCTAGTGGAGGCCGAGGAGAGTACTATAGCTCAATATCTGAGGGGACTAAGATCGTCTATTAACAATGTTGTGCAGATGTAGCCTTATAAGACAGTATCCATAAAAGTGGAGAGACAACATTATGGAGTGACCACCACATTTTACAAACAAAGTTCAACCTCAAAATCAAGCAGTAAAGTACACCCAACAAAACATTCAAGCCCACCACACTTGAGGAGAAACTAGTTCAGATTGGAGAGTAGGTGAATCCAACCAACATTCTCAAATCCATCCCAACCAGAAAGTGTTTCGAGTGCCATAATTTGGGCATTTTGAATGATATTGTCTAAATAGGAGAATGACTTTACTGAGCAGGGAGCAATGGAAGAAATTGATATGAATATAAAAGAGCATGAAGACTTCAGCTAGGAGTCTCAACTACCGGTTGACGAGGAAGAGACACTAGCTACTCAAGATGATCCTATGAATGAGACTCTTGATGGACTAATATTGGTTTTTCTAGAAGATTGCGAGTCAAATGAGCCAATTCCTGAAAAAGGATAACCCCTATTGAAGGAATTGCCATACATCACGACCAATGACTTATTTATTGGGTGGTTGCTACTGAAAGTGATCCAACATACCATAAATTTCATTTCAGAGTTAGTTTCTCAAGACAAATTTATTCATCAGATGTGACCAACTAAGTACGAGGAGTGGAAGAGGCTAATTACATATTTAATGTCTCAAGAGTTGCTTTATGAAAAGCTATGTGGATATGTAGCTCTATCTCACATAGTGCCAAAAAGTGGAAGAGGCTATCAGGATGTGTTTTGGAATGACAATGCCTAAATTATTGATTTGCTTGGAGAATGTAGTATTTTAGCTACCATATGCATGATGAAATGAATCCATGCTACTTGGCGATAGAAGTTTCGATAGATAAAGTCAAAGCTTTCCCAACTCGGAGAGACCGAGACGGGGCGTCTGAAAGCAGGCAGAAAGCCCGACGTGTCTGATAGTGGGCAAATCACCTGCTTGTTGGACCAGTTCGGCCCACACTTTTCCTTGTCGTGGAGTGTCGATTGGTTTCTTGTGCCTATTCTTAGTTATCCTATGATTATAAATTTTCTTTCATGATGTATTAGGGTTAGTTTTTGCTTGTATTTGTTTGCGATAGCTGTTGACGTCTCTGGTTTTTCCTTCTAGGGTTGTATCTAAGGATCCGAGTGGTGCTCTGGTTGTATCTCGCTCTTGAGGTGGTGATTTAGGGTTTGTTTGAGGCAGCTCCGCTTATCTAGCTTATTCTGATAAAAAATATATCCTAATAAGC